ACCGAAGTAGTTTTTATAAATAGCAATTGCAATCTATCTTTAAAATTCAGGATATATAAGAAAACCACACACACAAAGCTTTATTAAGACCACCTGTCTTATACAGATTCACCACAGGAAGAAATAATAGATGGAGCTCCTATACTCCAGGCAGCTCAGCACCCAACAACAGCCTCTAGGTCCGACGCATGTCCAATGGCCACACGTTCCTTCGTGTGTATGTCATGGTTAGCGTGGAATAGGCTAGTGTGGAATATATAAGAAAACCATTCCAATATAATAGTAGAGCGCGGTCTGGGGATTAATTTGGCGAAACCGCTTAGAGGGTTCACCATTGATGATCCAAGCCCTCTTATTCAATAACGTTTATCATTGCAGTAAGGTCTGTAGAGATAATATTTTATGATATATGTAGTAGCTTTCTCTCCGATCAGAGTTCTTTCCTAGAGGAAGGATCAGCCACGTCGAAATATTAGAAGAATACATATTTTTAATCCAAGATAAACGCTTATTTTTTATTGTGCCACATATGTATTGCTTTGCATTTGGTTATATATATAATGGTCACCGCTCCCGTCAAAAAAGACGTCAAAGCTATATGCCATCTATTGACCGTCTCCGCAAACTAGTGGACTAAGGTCGGTGTCAAAGCCACAACACCAGCTTTGGCAAACTGAGGAGCGTCCATCTGGAGACCATGGTTTCGGGCTAATGGCCCTCTTCACTCCAGGAAGGACTTTATGCCATGAGATCCACAAGAGATCTAATGGAATATTCACAATCTGCCAAAGAGATGTTTAGCTGGCAAAGTTTCTAGACCAAAACTATGGTCAAAATAATATCTGTTAAAAAAATAATAAATACTTTGCTACAATATTTATATACAGGAAGAATTATATAAAGACAATCAAGCTAATAGATTAGTCTGGGTAAATTGGAGGAAATGAAATTTATTATACATGGATTTACCACGGATTCACCTCAAATGAAGGTAAAAAAAGCAAAATCTAATCAACATTTCATATTCAAGTGAAACATATTGTTCAGTTTCCCAATTACATATACCATTTTAATCAAAAGGCATATATTGGGTCAAAATATAATTTATTTTACCAATATTTAAGTTGGCTGAACGCCAACCTTTATCAAGGTATTATAAAACATAATATAATAATATAACACATTAATATGTTATAATACCTTGATAAAGGTTGGCATTCAGCCAACTGAAATATTGGTAAAATAAATGATATTAATTATAGATTTATTTATGGATTGCTCTATTTTCCAAAAAAATATATACCATTTTGATATAGAATAAAGTGTCTTCTATATAAATATATGAATATAAAAAGGAAGATGTAATTTGTAAATTCTGCAAAACTGAAAGCATAGAAGAAATGACCCACTACATCTCTGAATGCACTATTTTTAACGAGGAACGGAATAAGATCTAAAAGAACATTATCCAAGTCTACGTGAACCCAGTTCAGCTAATCAGAATAATGTCCGAGAAAAAATATATATCGATAGAATTGTTTAACTTTCATAAAGCGTTAGAAAAAAGGTAATCTCTAAGAACTAAAATTACAGAACAATTTTCTTCCATAGTTAATTTGTATAGTTATGTTGAATACTTTGATTTCCTTTTAATTTTCCCTTCTCTCCTTTGTTTATGTTCCCCCCCCCCCCTTTCTCCATGAAAATGATGTATGGCGAGTCCTTACAGGACGGATGTGTCCTAATAAATCTGTTGTTGTTGAATATATGAATATATAGCCATAACAAACTTGTTTTAGATAAATACAAAATATTTCTGATCCTGAACTATTGTATTTTCAAGTAAGATTTGTAATATAAGAATTCTCTTCAATAAATTATAGAACACGTAACAGTTCTATTTTGGTATCTAAATTCCAAGAAATTTGTTATCAATCCGAGTGACCCAGACATAACAAGTCTCAAGGTTAAATGGTACGGATTTCCTGGGTCCCTAGTTTTGCTATTTATGTTGTTTGTAACGTCTCTTTTGCGGATACTTCATTATGACAATCAATATTTAAGCATAATACTCTGTTTTACTAAGAAAACATCCATCCACTTATGATTACATTGAAAGAAATCAAACTTCCAATTTAAACCGAAATGCAAATAAACTTTCCATAATAGAAAATAGCTCCGTAGATTCTATATGTTAGTTATGCAAGTTAGATTGATATAAAGCAATAAACGTGAAATCTATATTTAGAAAATGTAGCATTAAAGCACGAATGTTGCTTTTAAGCATAAAACAAACTTCTACTATCCTTACTGCATTTTTTTTTCAAGTTGATTGCGCACTTTTTAAAAATATATTTTATACGAGTGTTAATTTTTTTTTAGAAAAGTATTGATTATTTAGAGAGAAATTTATATTACTAAGTTAAGTGCGACGACCTGAATATTGGACGGCTAAGGACAGCGCGGGATCCTGCCTGAATAATCTGCGACACACCCAAACAGTTGTTTCCTGTTTCAACTTTATTTTAGGTTCCGCTCAAAAAGAACAACCTATCATTTGCCATCTACTATCCTTACTGCAACAAAAATATATATTGGGAGAGCTTGGTTCATCACTGTAGCATATAAAAGCAGGATCCTCCAATACAGTATTAGAACTCTAAGAAGCGGTTTGGTAGGTTAAATTGGAGAAACTGCTGGGAAGCTTCACCACTGATGATCCAAGCCCTCCCAATATATTTTTCATCGCAGTAAGGACAGTAGAAATTTGTCTTATGTGTAAAACAACTTAAATATTTTCTTATAAGTAGATGGTGCGTTATTGCCCTATAATTAATTCTGTAGGTTGTCGCTCAATTGAACTTAGATTTGTATAAAGCAATAACGCGTCATCTATATATAGGAAATGTAGCACTAAACAACGGATGTTGCTTTTACGCATAAAACAAACTTCTACTATCCTTACTGCAACAAAAATATATATTGGTAAGCTTGGTTCATCAGTGCAGCATATATAAGCATAATCGTCCAATACAGTATTAGAGTTCTAAGAAGCGACCTGTAGATTAAATTGGCGAAATCTCTGGGAGGGTTCACCACTGATGCTCAAGCTTTCCTAATATTTTTTCATCGCAGTAAAGACAGTAGAAGTTTGTTTTATGTGTAAAAGCAACATTCGTGTTTTAATGCTACATTTCCTATATATAGATGTCATTTTATTACTTTTTATCAATCTAGCTTAAATTGATAGACAACCTACAGAATTAATTATAGGGCAATAACACGCCATCTAAATATAAGAAAAGAAAAGATTTAAGCACGCAAGGTTTTTTTTAATACATAAATCAAATATCTACCGTCCTTACTGCGATGAAAATTATATTAGAAGGGCTTAGCTCAACAGTGGTGAACTCTCCCAGTGGTTTCACCAATTTAATCCCCCAGACCGCTTTTTAGAGATCTAATACTGAATTGGACGATTCTGCTTATATATATTTCACTGAAGGGTGGAATCTTAGAAATGGTCGTAAAGATAGAGACTGCCTGGCCGACATTCATAGCTCTTCAAATTAAAGACACTTCGGCCAGTAAATCTATTTTATTGTCTTGACGTTTCGACCAAAATATTTTGTCCTCGTCAGGAGCGAACAAAATTAAAACATTTGACAGAGCGTTAAAAAACATTTTTAATTTTGTTCGCTCCTGACGAGGACAAAAGATTTTTGTTGAAACGTCGAGACAATAAAATATATTTACTGGCCGAAGTGTCTTTAATTTGAAGAACTTAGAAATGGTATTCAACTAATCTAGGGACATTTAGGACAGTATAATTACATATAAATATTTGCATCGAGTAATTCTCTTCCGCAAATAATGAATAAAGCCAGGAAACATTCGTGTTTTAACGCTCTCATTTCTTATAGAAAGTTGATTTGTTCAAATCACATAGTTTATCTTACAGAATTGGTAGGTTACCAGAAGAGACTGTTTATAACATACATGATAGAATCATCTGAACAAATAACTGATTGTTTTGAAGTTCATTTCTTGGTTAGAAGTTTGTTTGTGGAAAAATATAGCTACATCAAACAATAATTTATTTAATTTTCAAAGTTTCAGTGACTTGCTGTTACTGAAACTTCGAGAAATAAGTCCATTTTTGGTTGATGTAGCTATATTTTTCTAAAATTACTGAAGGTTACAAAGATTGAATAATTCGTTGATCTGTTTAATTTGTAGCGTAACAATAGGATGTGTTTTCTGTGGAATATTAAAGTCAGGGACCCACTTCTCTGTCGTTACGTCTGGAATATAAACATCTTCAAACTTCCGACAAACGACGTTTCAGTGACTCTCTGTCATTGAAATGTCTATAATTAAATAAATTATTGGTTAGTATAGCTATATTTTCCAAAATAACTGATGATTACAATATTGAATAATTCTTTGATCTGTTTTATTTGTAGCGTAACAACAGGATGTGTTTTCTGTGGAATATTAAAGTCAGGGACCCACTTCTCTATCGGTACGTATGGAATACCAACATCTTCAGACTTCCGACATCAATTGTTTTGGTCAGATTTATGGGATGACAAGACAAATGTTAACTAGTTCCTTGCTAGAATGCATTTCTTCTATCTTCCTCAATTCCTCCTTGTTATCGACAATATACTTCCAGATTACAAACAACTTTGATGTAATAAAAGATATGATGAATTTATTGACTGTCTCTTTGCGTTTTGTACAAGGATGGATCATTGAAGTATTGTTTGGATTCATTTTAAATGTGAGATACAATTTTTGTACATGAGTATCTTTTACCGGCAGAATTGCAATATATTTCGGCATTAAAACGGATTTTACCATTTTAGCTGTTGAACCATCTAATCGGTACTTTCGTCCGATTTCACATACCACCTCTCGTAGGACGACAGAAAGAGAATATGGTTTTACGGGCTACTAACCAAAATGTATGGTTTTTGAGCCCTAAAAAAGGTAATAGCCTACAGAACACGGTGTTCTCAGTTGGTCACCCTCCCAAGTACTGACAGGGCCCGACATTGCTTGACTTCGATGATCGGATAAAAAATTGTAAGACATCAAGAAATTGAAATCGCCTTTGTCCTGATGAAGTCTATACCCCGGAAACATGGTATACAGGTTGATTGTTTGACCGAATATGCCAAAAGTTGGTATTGTGGAGAATTTGTTAAATCCAATTTGTAAACGATTTATGTTAAAGATTAATAAAAGCATTGTTTTTCATACTCATTGAGAAATCTAAACAGAATAGTTTGCGATGTCTGTATTTGATGCCTTAAAAACAATCATCAGTGGTGAACCCTCCCGGTTTCGTCAATTTAATATACCATACCGGTGTAATATTGCATTTTTAGGTTTCTTTTTATACTGATACTGAAGCTAGACTCTTGGAAAGGGTGTTTTAAATGAACTATGGATATAAATCTTAAGTTCTGTCCATGATTGTAGAACGCGGTGTTTATCCCAGCTTATCCACCTACACGTGGAAGTATCCTATGGAGGTAGGTGTCATATAGAATTTACACTTTAATTGGAGTCAATTCAGGCTGAGAGCAATTATGGAAATAGGGAGAGTGTTTTTGTTGTGGTGTCCCCATTCTGATGCTGGTTTACCTTCGGCCTATTCCTGGCTTTGATCTTGATAGCCAATCTCTACCGTAGCGACACATTGTCACATATATGGGTGGAATTTCATGCTCTGCTGCTCTGGGTCCATGTAAATTTTATGTTATCATTGTCGTGTTCAATGAAGAGCCTCAGATGTCTCCATGCATCTCTATCACAGCAGTCTCAATGTCCTCTATCTTGGGTGTGCAAAGCTGCTGTTCTGGGTCCATGTCAATTTATGTTGCTGTTGTAGTGTCCAATGAAGAGCCTTAGATGTCTCCATACATCTCTATCACAGCAGTCGCAATGTCTCTATCTTGGATCTGTAAAGCTGCTGCACTGGGTCCATGTCAATTTTCTGTTGTTGTTGTTGTCGTGTCAAATGAAGAGCCTCAGAAGTCTCCATGCATCTCTATCACAGCAGTCTCAATGTCCTTCATCTTGGTTGTATAAAGCTGCTGTTCTGGGTCCATGTCAATTTTATGTTGCTGTTGTCAAGTCCAATTAAGAGCCTTAGATGTCTCCATACATCTCTATCACAGCAGCAGCAGCAATGTCCTCTATCTTGGGTGTGTAAAGCTGCTGCTCTGGGTCCATGTCAATTTTCTGTTGTTGTTGTTGTCGTGTCAAATGAAGAGCCTCAGAAGTCTCCATGCATCTCTATCACAGCAGTCTCAATGTCCTCCATCTTGGTTGTATAAAGCTGCTGTTCTGGGTCCATGTCAATTTTATGTTGCTGTTGTCATGTCCAATGAAGAGCCTTATATGTCTCCATACATCTCTATCACAGAAGCAGCAATGTCCTAGTAGGTACCTAACCACAGCATGCTTCTGTCAACTCTCTCTAGTCTTGTAGACAACCATATTCTCTCTTCATTTTTTATTTCGACTTAGAGCGCTATGTCCCCCTAGGGACACTTTCACTTTAAAGATAAACAAAAATTTTGAAAGAAAATAAAGATATTTAAAATATGTACAGAATTAGTATGCAAGTTAGTTAGATGAAAAGATAAAAAAATATCAACACAATTGATATATATACAAAGGGTTGGTATGAAAATTTAGTTAAATGAAATCAAATTGTAAAGTATTGTGTGTATTCGAGAAAAGCAATACCATACTCTCTATGTAGGTGTCAATTTTAAATATTAATTAAAATATTCAATTATTTTATATTTGATTGTGTGATTTTCGATCGGCTATGGGGAAGATGGTCATGTTGTCATATATAAGCTTGATAGATATTTCAGTATGTAAAGTTAGTGAGTTAATATTTTTATAGTTATTTGAAACTATTTTCTATAAAACGAGTATCTTCAAAACGAAATGTAATTTAACATTTAGGGTTTCTTAATACCATTCCTAGGGTGGACATCTATTCATAGAGATATCATTTGTCGAAATCGGTTATATGACCTTAGTCAGTATCACTATAAAACCTATGTCTCTAGATATTAAATTATTCACTTACCTCAGAGAAAAAACACAGCTACATTAACCGATAGTTTAATTCAACTTCCGACGTTTCAGTAAGTGAGAGTAGAACTAGGATTCAAAGTAATCATTCTCCCGAAGAGAATAACAGGACATAGATAGTGGGCATTGCTGTTTCTGTGATAGAGTTGTATGGAGACTTCTGAGGCCCTTCATTGAACACGACAAGATAACATATATTGACATGGACCCAGAACAGCAGCTTTACACACCCAAGATAGAGAACATTGCGACTGCTGTGATAGAGATGTATGGAGACTTCTGCGGCCCTTAATTGAACACGACAACAACAACAGAAATTGACATGGACCCAGAAGAGCAGCTTTACACACACAAGATAGAGGGCATTGCGACTGCTGTGATAGAGATGTATGGAGACTTCTGAGGCTCTTCATTGGACACGACAACAACAACAGAAATTGACAAGGACCCAGAACAGCAGCTTTACACACCCAAGATAGAGGACAATGCGACTGCTGTGATAGAGATGTATGGAGACTTCTGAGGCTCTTCATTGGACATGACAACAACAACAGGAAATTTACATGGACCCAGAACAGCAGCTTTACATACCCAAGATAGAGAACATTGCGACTGCTGTTAACGAAATCTATGGAGACATCTGAGGCTTTTCGTTGGACACGACAACGATAACATAAAATTGACATGGACCCAGAACAGCAACTTTACACACCCAAGATAGAAAACATTGCGACTGCTGTAATAGAGATGCATGGAGACTTCTGAGGCTCTTCATTGGACACGACAACGATAACATAAAATTGACATGGACCCATAACAGCAGCTTTACAGACCCAAGATAGACAACATTGCGACTGCTGTGATAGAGATGCATGGAGACTTCTGAGGCTCTTTATTGGACACGACAAGGATAACATAACATTGACATAGACCCAGAACAGCAGCTTTACACACCCAAGATAGAGATCATTGCGACTGCTGTGATAGAGATGCATGGAGACATCTGAAGCTCTTTATTGGACACGACAACAACAAGAGAGTGACAGGAAGTCACTGAAACGTCGGAAGTTAAAATAAACTATTGATTGATGTGGCTGTGTTTTTCTCTGAATCAACTTCCAACCAGCAAAGGATCTTAACTATTCACTTAACTATTATATATAACCAATAACTTATAAACCAAATAGAATTCAAATATTTTGGCGTCTACATTCAAACCTTAGGGTCATCCTCAATTCAAAGACATCTTAATCTTTAAAATACGTTAAGGAAATCCCTTTTTACATACCACGTTTCTTTCACCTATAATTACATAATGGAAAGCAACTAAGTACTACCCCCAGGGGGTACAAACTTCACTGAAAGTGTTTTAAAGACTTTTTAATTAATTAACAAAAATGTGTTTTACTTGAATATGCTTTGGACACTAATTATAGCCGTTAGAATTTTAATGAGGACCCTATTAGTATTGTTTTAAATGGCCGTTTGATAAAGAAAGTGTTTCACTTAATGACATTTTCAGCAATTTTCACATTTTACATTCATTTATTCTACTTAAATTCACCAGGAAAAAGCCTTTATGAAATGATCTTGTTAGCTATCACATACAATAAACCCGGATATGTTTGGAATGGCATTCAAATTCCATTAATTTTGATAAATATGTTAATTATTGGGGTCTGTTGTAACGTTTCGTGTTTTTTGTGTTGACCTAGAAACAGTTATTTTGTAGCAAAAACCAAAGAAATCATAAATTTTATTAAAATAAAAACATTAAGCCTTCAGGAAAAATAGTGCCCAGTAACAATGATCTGTTGGCTTCGGTTATTATAAAGGAAAGTTCCATATTTGCCCCTTTAACAAATACTTCTATTTTGCCTATCACATTTATTTTTAAAATGAAAGGATTTAAAAGCAGGAATGTTTCTTTTATACACAATATAAACCTCTACTCTCTGCGATGAAAAAAATATATTGGGAGGGCTTGGCTCATCAGTGGTGAACCCTCCCAGCGTTATTACTTTATGTTAATTTATGCCTAACTGACCTTGTCTTTATTGTTTGCGGAAGAGCATTGCTCGATGCAAATATTTGAATGTAATTATACTGTCCTATAAGCCTATTGGCGAAACCGCTGGGAGGATTCACCACTGATGAACCAAGCCCTCCCAATATATTTCTTCATCGCAGTAAGGAGAGTAGAAGTTTGTATTGTGTATAAAAGAAACATTCGTGCTTTTAAATCCTTTCATTTTATATGTATAGATGGCGCGTTATTGTTTTGTGTTATTTTTTTTTTTTTTGTATTCGAGAATGATTGAAGATTTAAACTAACAGGAGTCAATTTTATTTTCCAAAACTTCTTGTAAACTTTTCCCTGGAGGTTTAATGTTTTTATTTTAATATTGGCTCAAGGGATTATTTTATGGAAAATAAATTTATTGTTTTTTCTTCGATTTTTTATTTTTAAATTCGGTAGTTTTTCAATTCTTATAAGCATTTTCTCAGTCATATTTACGGATACTGTTGCCTACAAAGATGTATATAAACCTCGATATTTTGATCAATTTACACTAATAAACAAAACTTAAGGAATATATATAAATAAATGTATGCAATTCTGCTGTCCTCAAAGCTTATGTCCATAGTTAATCTAAAATACCCATTCAAAGAGTCTAGTAATCAGTATCACTATAAAAGGAAATTCGAAAAATGCAATATAACAGCGGCATGGTAAATTAAACTGGCGAAACCGCTGGGAGGGTTCACCACTGATGAGCCAGGCCCTCCCACTAATTTTTACATTGCAGTAAGGACAGTAGAAATTATTTATTTTTAAAAATAATCATACGCGTCTATAATAGTTTTGAATTTTGAAAACTTAAGGAAGTTATACAAATGAAAAAAACAAAACGCGAATGTTTCTTTTCACAAATAAATCAAACTTCTATTGTCCTTACTGCGATGAAAAAATATTGGGAGGACTTGG